TTCCTGCTGTGGCCACACTTTTAGTTTAAAGCCCTCCCTCAATAGCACTTTAAACTGTTTAAATGTAGAGAGAGCCTAAGAAACTTGTTACATGCAAATTCTTCCCCTGTATTTCTAATTATCTTTTCTCCAGGCTAGGCAGCCTCCTAGCTTGGACCTGACCCACCCTGTGTTCAGTCTTGGATGTTTCTCACAGGCATCTTGGGCTGTGGCCACACTTTTAGTTTAAAGCCCTCCCTCAATAGCACTTTAAACTGTTTAAATGTAGAGAGAGCCTAAGAAACTTGTTACATGCAAATTCTTCCCCTGTATTTCTAATTATCTTTTCTCCAGGCTAGGCAGCCTCCTAGCTTGGACCTGACCCACCCTGTGTTCAGTCTTGGATGTTTCTCACAGGCATCTTGGATAGTGGTGTTCTAGTGTCAGGCAACTGCCCCTATTGTTTGGTTTCCCACTTCTATGTCCTCTTTGCCCAAGGCGGAAATTCTTTGTGTTTAGTTCAAACTTTTCTCACCTTGAATGGAAAAGTACCAGATCCAAGATGAGGTCCAGCATTAGATGGCCTGGCTATATGTCCTGACAAGACCAACCACAGTGCAGGATTGCAGGAAAAACAAGACTATTCACAGGTTACTGGATTGAGTAGTGAGCCATTATGTTTCTGGAGAATCACTAAAGGCCCTCGTTAGCACATCTAGATTTATAAACAGATCCACGCTTCATATTTCTCACGTCACACACAAGACTGATACGTGCACAGCAATAAAATATACACATTCAGCAGATTGTAACTTTAAAAACATGTCAGATGATGCATTTTGCCTAAAGCATACTTGAGTTATGCATATTCATAAGGCATTTTCGTAAAGGAGGGGGGAGGTCCATGACAATGTTGCTAGAAGTCTGCGGGACGTATTGCAGCTCTCAAAAGGTCCACAAAAATAATATTCTCAATGAAAAGTTAATAGTGCATAATTGGGGCATTGATAGTCCTCTAGCTCCTGTGGAATTAAAAGTTTCTTTAAGCTTAGATGTATCAAAGGACCTTGTGAGTTTACAATTCTACCTGCCCCACTGTATCTTCAACGCCCTAGAGAATTTAAGAGCTAGGGTACTTGTCTCCTTCCGTTCCCCTGTGCATTCTTTGGAATGTATATTTTTGCTTGTTTTTTGGCCAATGAAATATATGCAGAGTTGGTTATTGTGCAAACAATTATTTATCAGATGACCCGTTAACACTTTGCACATTTCAATTTCTTCCATTTTTTGTTTTTTAAGTTATTTAAAATGTCTATTCCCATAGTTTTTCACCCACTCAAGGGACAAGGACTCACCTTATGTAAGAACGATAAATGATGAATTTTCTATAATGCAGAGGGTATGATAGAAACTGTTTAACACACTGAAGTATAACTGGATTCTCTGTTCAGTATTTAGGAATACACAGAAATATTTAAGTTTACTTCTCTTTTAAAACGTTGGTTATTTTAAAATCTCTTGAACTGGAAATGTTCAGTTTTCTCCAGATTCTCAGATTCTGATTCTTCTTTACTCTGAGAGAACATAATTTTATGTCCATTTAAAATAAACTTCTGTGAAGAAATATTTCAATATGAGGCAAGGGACACTTACACTATGTCCTTACAGAGTATATAATTTAAGTTATTATGGACTTAAGACTCTCCTACAAACACACACTGAACTGTTTCCTATAAAGCTTTATTGGTGAGGAGTTGCAGTTCTTGCCCTATTCTACACCTGTAGGACCAAATTTTTAAAAGTATACTAGCATTTATTTGCCACTTCAGGGGCCTACAGGCATTTTCAAAAACTTAAAATGCTTTTGAAAATTCCACTAAGGCACCTAAATACTTTTAAAAATCTGGCTCCTGGTCTGTAATCTTTGTCTGCATTGCTTATTAGTTAGGCCAGTCTGTGTGATGCTTCTGAGATGTTTGGATCTAAATACAGTGCTTTGAAACGTTCCATTTCTCAGGGCAAATGGTGGACTGCAACCTGCAGATTTAGTTAAAGCTAGGAAAACGAGAGATAGTAGGCAAGGAGATTGGATTGTGTATCATGCTGTTCATGAAATCTTTTGTTTCAAGTATTCTGTAACTCTTGGTACACTAAAATCTTTTAATTATAGAAAGTTTTATATGCCTAAAGTAATGTGGTAATTTGCTTTCTGAGCATAACACATGGGCATTACTCTATAAGGCAGGAACAGTCTTGACAGTAAAATTGTGTGCCAGAAACTGAAGGATGCCTAGTCTTTCCTTCCAGTTGGTACTGACTTTCCCTCCAAACGTAAGGGGAAGGTCCTACATGCATGTTTCTTGCCAGCAGCTGTACTCCTTGTTAGGGATGTTAGAGAGAGAGTAATTGAATAGTCGATAACTGCATGAATTCTTAGAAGTTACTCGACTATTCTATAGTTCCCCGGGGCAGGGCTGGCAGCCAATGTACAGTAATTACTTGTTTAACAAGTACCCGCTTAAAACGTTTTCGCAATAGCACAATGTTTTTTTAGGGAATGTTTTTTGAATAACACGACCGTCCCCGAAATAACACGAAAATAATCAAGTGGCGGACTACTTTTCACAGTGGTATAAGTTGGTGAAAACAGGGTAGTACAAATGAGCGGATGAATACATGTGGTCACAGCACTCTTCCGCTCATTCACGTGTTTATCTTTGTGTTTTAAGAAACCGTGGCGACTTGTGTTGCTAGATATCTAATGTTGACACTGACAACCCAGTACCAACAAAAAATTGACTTGGCCACCACCACCTGAAACGCAACCCCCACCTTTTCCATTATTTTTAATGGGAAAATTGACCCTACATAGCACGTTTTCACTTAGCACGAACATTTTCAGAAACGCATCTATAGTGTTAAATGAGGAATTACTGTACTCCAGCCCCATTTCTGGGGAGCCCCCTGCTGCCCTGTGCTGCTGCTGTCTTACATAGGGAAAGCTCATGAGGACATTCGCCCTTTATTTATGAAGGAGAGCTGCACGATGGTTGCTCCCAGGTAAAAATTATTTACACTGGGGGTCTGATAGTAAACAAAAAGTGTTTTTATTAAGTTCAAACAGTAGGTTTTAAGTGGTTGCAAGTGAAAACAAATCAAAGTAAAGCTATTAAAATGAAAGTGCGTAGCTAGTTCCAATTCATTAAAAAACGTATTGCAAGCAGATTCTTACCTTAAAGAACTGTTCTTATTTCAGGCATAAACTTCAGGTCAGAGACAAACTCCTTTACCCTGACCTGGGTGTCCAGCCCTTTGTATCCTTTTCAGGGTTTTCCAGGCCAGCCAAAGACAAAGGGGCTGATAGCTTCCTAATGTTTAGACTTTTCCTCAGGGTGGGAACCTTTTGTTCTACATTCCGTCTTCCACGGAAAATACCAGGGTCAAAATGGAATCCAAGTACCAGGTGACATAGTCACATGCCTTACTAGTCCAATTGCCTTTGAACTTACAGGACAAATAAGGCTGCTTACAAGTCATTACATTGATCACCAAGTTGTTAAGGCCATCCAGCAGATTGTAACATTACAATTGATACGTTTCGTGAGTTATTGTGTTTAAAGCATCTTTGAGTTATGCAAAATTTTGGAAATTGGTTTATAAATATAAAATTGGGGGTGACAGGTGAAGCAGTTTTTTTTCTCCCTGCTCCCCTCATTAGATTTCTTTGTTTACAGGTGTCTTCATGCCTTCATGTGTCCTCCTGGGATCTGTGAAGTCAGCTGAAGACAAGCATTGTTTGCTTCCCATTCCTTCTATAGAATTTCCCCAACATGGGAAGTCATTGTTCCATTCCCTCCTTACCCCTTGTGGAAAAATTCCAAATTCAAGGTGGATTCCAGCACCAGGTGGCATGGTCTCTTGTCTTTGTACGACCAACCACAGTTTAGGCTTACAGAAAAACAAGATCATTTACAGATCGTCTTGAGCACCAGGCCATTAGGTTCCTTATGTACCACTAATGGCTTTCAGTAGAAAACCTAGATTAATCAACAGGTGCACACTACATAGTTGTAACTTGAAAGACAGGAATGAATTGAATGGGTTCCTCTATATCAGCTTCCTGAAAACATTTCAGGGTGTAGCAGTGCCCCCAGAATGGAAATAGCAGCGCCTTTTAAAGTGTAGGTGTCTTGGCATTTAGCTATCGGTGCCAGAAGACAGGGTGCCTCACTTTCCCCTTCTACACAGCACAGTAGGTTGTTACACCCTTGCTGCTATCCCTAGCTTTAAGCCTGTTTACAGCTATTAGCTTAGAAGCTGCAAGTTCATGCAAGTCTCTTGTTCCTAACCCTAGCATATGTGAAAGCTTTCTCCAAAAATCATGCGTGTCACATTTTGAAGGGGTTTTATTGTCCGTATGAGTTCCTTAGTTTTGATTCATTGATGTTGTAAAAAAAGGCATAAGGTTGCCAGCAACTCTCTGACAGAATGGCATTTCCAAGTGTGGTTACCATACCATACCCTCTGTTTAAAACATTTGAGTGATTTGGTATTTATCACCCCTTTCAACCCATCATATACTCGTGTGTATTTAGCTACAGGTTTTTCTTTTTCTTCAGTAAAAGTTTCCATTGCACGTACTTGTCTGAGGCTTCAGGGAAGAAAGTTTCCAGTGGAGATGCACCTCCCCCCAAGGCTAACTTCCTGCAAAGAATTTACCCTGACCCCAGAAGAGTCTCCATAATCCTCATGTTTAGGTATTTTCTGCTCTCTCCCTCAGATGGTCTGTTAGCATTTTTACAGACACTCTCAGCCTCAATGGGACTTTCTGTTTCAAAGAGCTGGTGTTACTTTTGCCAGATGTTGGTCTAACAGATGTTAAAGCTATCTTTTGGATCAGTGGGGTTCTCATTATTCCCCCATACTCTGTTCTCAAGAGGTCAATCGACCTTCTGGGAGCTCAAACCCACAACTCCCCCTTGAAACCTGAATGACAGGTGGGCAGCCTGAGATTACAGATGCAGACCCAACCCACTCCTCCAAGGCCTGCCTGCAAAAGGTGGGGACAAACTCCTGCACTCTCTCCTCTGGCCATCTGTCCCCTGTTCAGCTCTAGGCACACAGCTCCCAGCCATGACAGACCTTTCCCTGATTAGTCTTGTATGCTTTTCCCCATTAGAACTGAGTTGATCTTCAATTACAAAGCCATTGGGTTCCTCAGCCCCTGCAGTGGTTTCTCACATCCTCCCACTCCCCTTCAGAAGGTGTACAGTCAGTCCCCAAGTTATGAGGATCCGACTTAAGTCGGATCCGTACTTACGAACGGTGCTTTTCTCGCCCCGGCGGACGTGGGCGGTGGGACCGCCCAGACGCGCCATGGTCCCGCCGCCCGTGTCCTCCGGGGCGAGAAAAGCGTCTCCGCGTCTCCCTGGTCTGCTGGCGGGGAGGGGCGGACATTCCGCAGTCCCTCCGCCCGTGTCCTCCGGGGTGAGAAA